CACCGAGCTGTACATGGGCAGCAAGCGCATCGACTAAATTGCGAACTTCGATGCTTTCGTTAACCTCGAGGTGCTCTGGATCAATGACAACCAGGTATGTCATCTGTGCAGTAGAATTCCAACTTAAGATTCTTTCTTTGACGACCTGCCAGATTCAGGAACTTGACGGACTGGACGGTTGCTTCCGTCTCAAGCAGATCAACGCTCACAACTACTGCATCCGGTACGTCAAAAGTGCGCCTTGTCGACCTGCTTTCTCGAAAAACAAGTGTACTTCTGGTCCTATAAACAGCTCGCTTGAAGATTCACCGCAACTACTACGCTACGACTGCAAGGCTGATGAAGCCTCGACCGAGAAAGTGCTATTATAGCTCCAATATTCCGTCCAACACATCGATCTCCTCACTTACTTAATTCAAATCATCCTATTCGTTTGCATTTTTGTTTAGTATTATCCAGGTCGTGGTCGTCCCCTTTGTAGCTCGTTTGGTTTACAGTTCATCGGGCAAATTGTAGTCTTGATACGTCTCGGTGGGGTTATAAAAGCGAATGATTGGATCTGCAGTAAGATCTACTTAACTAAGTCGTTGACGACAAAGAAAGTTGGACCATGTTGACCACAACCTCCACTCCGTCCCTCATTTTGTAGTCATTGTCGGCTGCAACGACGGCCGTGATGCAGCCGAGAGCAGTATCATCCAGTTTTTTCTGATGAAGCTATTCGAACCGAATTGACACCGACAGTTGAATCTTTAAAATCAGTGCGGCCACACGTGGACAATTCTTCCATACAATACATTTACATTTAAGTCGCAAATGCGGATCTTCAGCGGTTGAAGATAGCTACGTTCTTTCCGTTCTAAGTCACAACTACACATATAGGGATCTAAGTGCCATTACTAGTGTAGCTGCGATTGTATGACACTGAGCTATCTCAGTGAACGTAGTGTTTTTATCGTTTGAGTTGGTGTGAAGTTCCTTCACATCTTGCATGGGTTCGTTTCTAAAGCGATACACTACGATACAGATGGTGCTTGTAATCCGCCACTAAATTGGTGCTGCTGCCCCCTTCATCGTGGGATTACTCATACACTAACGTGTGTATTGTCACTTTATTAGTGTTTTGGTCTGCTCCGTTGCAGAATCAGTTTTGCCTCAGGAGTTCCAAGTTTATCTTGCCCCGGAGGAAGATGGCACGAAACGATTGCCTCAGCACGAAGTGTGGCAAGAGTAATTACAGACTGAAGCTATGCCGCTGGACGACCTCATCCCGATCGGTGGCACGTCCAGAGGCAGTTCTGGCTCCAAGAAGAGTGCAGCGAACGATCTCACCGGTGGCCTTATCTCGATTTCTGGCGCTCGCAACAATGCAGACGTCGACATGTCCGACTTTGATGTTGGCGACCTGCTTGGTGACGACTCAAGTAAGAAAAAGTCAAAATCGTCTTCGAAGGACAAGAGCGACGACAAAAAGAGGCACAAATCCAAAGACAAGTCGAGAAGCTCCAGTAGCAGCAAGAAGAAGAGCAAGTCCAAGTCGAAGAAAACCACATTTAACGATGATGATGACTTCGGTGGCGATACTGACAACTGGACGTCTTTGGCAAAGAACTGGGATAGCGCTGCTGAACTGGAAATGGCTGCAGCTGCTGCTGCGAGACGGAAGAACGCTAGCGGGAGCGGACTGGATGATGAATTCGCTAAAATGCTTGGTGGGGACATTGGCGGTGGTACAGATTTCGGAGCTGCTGAGTCTTCGGAGCCATTTGGGAAAGGAGACGACGATAAAGTGGACAATTTCGACGCAGATGAAACTTTCGGGATCTCGGGGTACACCCCAACTGTGCGTGGCTCGAAAAAAACTCAAGAGGCTAAAGTCCCTCCCACAATTGATACATATGAACCTGCCAAAGTAAGTGACGGTATCTCAGCATCTTTTTTCCAGGATGAGACAAAAGATGACTTCAACTCGACGTCGTTGTCTTCGTTGTTGGGTCCATCAGCTGAGCGTCGAGCTGGGACTCGTGGAGGCCGAAGACAAGCCGGTGGAGCTGAATCGGACCCTTTTGGTCTTGGAGCCTCGACTACAACTTCCAGCTCCACTTTTGACTCGCTCTTCGGAGCATCCAGCAGTAGAAAAAGTGCTTTCGACGATCCGTTCGCCAAACCTACACGCGATTTATCAGATGATTTCGAAACGAGATCGCGTCTAAAAGATCCCATTGACGAAAGGACTTCGAGTCAAGGTCGAGATGACCCCCCTCTAGCTCGCGGCATTCAGGTTTTATCAGCAAAAGACGATCTCCTAGCTGATTTATTTTCGTCGGAGCCACGTAGCGGTCGTCAACAGGAGGAGTCGTTCTCAAAAAATGAAGAAGAAAATTACGATAAGAAACCGAAAACGGAGATTCCATTGGAGCCCGCAGTAAAGCAGCAAAATGATCTCCTGGATGAGCTTTTTGCCACCCCTTCATCCAAAAGCTCGGTATATGACAAACCAAAAAAGGAACAAAAAATTGCGATAAAATCAACAACTCCGCCTAAAGAACGGACCTCACCGAAGAAATTGGAGTCACTCAACGACGCTGAACTACCCACGGCAAGTACAGATGCCGACCTTTCTAGCGCTAGAGACAGCTTGCTGATGGACCTCCTAGGAGATCTTTCCGAGCCAAGAGGAGCTGTACTATCACGACGTCGCAGCCGTGGCACCAACAGTAACAACAGCTCGCCCAACAAGGAAGTGATCAAAGTAGAAGACCCTTTCAAGAGTTCTTTACCACCCTCTCCAGTTCTGTCGAAGCCTTTAGCAACAGTTCCAGAGGTAGCGACAGAGATGGTAGCTCCATCAAATGACAGACCTGATACTCCGCCATCACCAGGTCGCATCCGATCACTAACAGTCGACAAACGCATCCGCGAAAGCGACTTGGAACTGCCAAAAGACAGTCTGCTAGAGGAAATTCTACCGTCGCCTCCTGCCTCTGCTCGCAGCAGTCCCCAGCGACGCAACTCGTACTCCCAGTCCTTCGACGTTGAAGACAAAATCGCTCCTATCGCTGAAGAGCCAATTAGAAAAGTACAAGAGCACAACTCTCAAGCCCAAGAGGAGACTCCACATATTTCAATTGTCAGGCCCTCGCCGATAGAAGAAATGAAAGATTCGAAGGTGTTAAAGCAAAAGCCGAAGCAACTTCAACCAAGTAAAAACGACGAAATTCCGGACGTAAAGACAACTTTTGCTCCAGTTTGCAACTGTGAAGAACGCGAAAAAGCGCTTACTGCAACATTTGACGTCGAGCGAGTTGCACTGCAGCAACAACTCGATGAACTCACGCAACAGTTGCAGACTCAAACAGCGTCTAACAGTCAACTCGCGCAACAACTCACGCAACAACAGGAGGAACGAGAAGCGCTCGCTACGCAACTATCTCAGCAACTGGAAGAACGAGAATCACTGGTTAACCAACTGTCGCAGCAACTTGATGCACGAGTAGCAGCGAACACTCAACTGACTCAACAACTCGCAACAGTGGAACGTGATAAACTCCAAGCCGACCAGGTAGCTGCAAGCTGTAAAGAGGAAGCAGCGAGCTACCAACATCGAGCTGAGCTCTTGGAAGCCGAGATACGAGGACTTCGTGACGAGCTGTACCGCTCGAAACGCGCCATCCAGGATGCAGAGTTGACTCTAGCACGGAAAATGGCCGAACAGGACGACGCGGACCAATTAGAACGCCACCGAGAGAAGCGCGCGCTTGAGGCGCTTAGTGCGCAGATGCAACGTGCATTAGCACGTCTCACTGTAACGCATCAAGTACACGAGGAAGGTTTAGGTCTTGACTACTCCGCAGCACGCGTTGCTGCTGAAGATGAGGCGCGTCTTCGAGTGATCGCGTCGCTAGAGGGAAGCTCGAAGCGCGCAGCTCAACACGCTGAGCAAGAGCGACTGAAACTAGCAGAGTTATTACGAGAACTCGAAGCGGGGGCGCGCAACGCTCGACAAGGAGCGTTAGAAGATAAGGAGCGTCTGCGACAGGAGCAGCAACGTCTAGACGCACTTAGCGCTCATCTCCAGGCCCATGCTGCCGCACTACGGGACCAAGAGGATACTCATGCCGCGTATATGGGGAAGCAACTGGCTGAAGCTCGAGAGGACGCGCGGGTGTACGAAGCACGTTTAGCAACTAGAAGGACGCAACTGGAACGCGATGAGCGTGCGTTGTATGAAGCTCGAGCGGAGTTTGCGGCCTTCCGCGAACAAACTGCGCTAGAGATTGAGCGCGAGCACGAGGAGCTTCGAGCGTCGCGTTTAGCGCTTGAAGACGCGTGGCGCGAGCTTCGCGCGGACCGCGAGGACCTCGAAACGGAGTTGGCTGGCCACGAAGATGAATTTCAAACACTCGAGAGCATGCGGCAACACGTTCAAGACGCAGAAGCGCGACTGGCGGAACGTACGCAAGAGGTTGTCGCACTAGCGGAGAAACTTGACGTCGGTACGCAAGAGTTGCTCGAACGTCAGCAACTTGTGGCTCAACAAGCCGCGGTAGTGGAAGATACTGACACGTCGTTTGTCAGTCGAGAACGGTCACTCGAACGCGGGAAGAAAGAGTTGGAGGCCCGGGAACAAAGGTTGCATGCTCAGATTCGTCAACTTGACACTGCGCGTGGGAGACTCACACAGCAACGACGAGAACAGCAACAGCTCCTAGCGGCAGCTAGAAGACAGTACTCGACAGCGCAACAACCAGCAGTTGACAGCAACAAAAAGTGGAGACACAGCGACCTCACGTCGACGGTGCATCGTAGAAGCAACAACTTCAATCCAGCTGCAACTGACAAACCGAATACGAAAATACCGGTACCAGAATGGTCAGAGCCTCACGTGGAAGAGGATCCGTCCGGCTTGTCACCGGCAATGAGGAAACAGGTTGAAGCCAACTGGAAACGTCGACAACATCAGAGTGGCCAACACCGTCAACGTTCAGGCTTAACGTTTGATGTTGAAAACTTTGCAACTAACGTACCGGTATACCCGTCCAATTGGTTCCCGGAAGCGAAAAATGTGTCGAATTGCACCGGCAAAAGCAACACTGTTGCAAAAGTCAGTAGTCAACAATCCTCTCCCCACCAGCAACGACAATCATTGACGCCTCGTACCGAGATCCAAGCGTTACCCAGAGGGCAAACTCCGCCACCACCTCCACCTTCGACAACGAGGACATTCCACCCGACGCTGAGCGTAAATCTCTAAGCAAAAAGTTGATCTGTATTGACTGTCACGACATGACTGAAACATTTTCGAGTTGTCTAGGCGCGGCAGTTTTCAATGTTGAAGATCATGATGTCGGTGGCGCCCACGTCGTGGAGCTGGTCCATGACGTCCGACACGTCCTTGACCTCGACCATCGCCGACACGGCGTATCCGCCACCCACGAGTCCGTTCACCGTGGGGGAGCGACGTCCCGGCGTGATCTTGGTGGCCTCCTCCAGCTTCTCCTTGTCCACATTGTACGTCACCATCCTGTACTTGGTGGCCGTGATGAAGCCCAGGATGCGCTGGTGAACCTTGTGCACCAGGTCCTTGTGCGCCGACTGCGGGTTGGCAATCAGCACGGCCTGAGTCTTAAGAATAGTCGAGATGAGCTCCAGACCGGCAGCCTTCATAGTAGTGCCGGTCTCCACCAGGTCGACGATGCCATCAGCCAATCCCAGCGAGCAAGCGGCCTCCACGGAGCCCGAGACGTATTTGATTTTCGTGGGGCCTGTAGCCTCCGTTTCGAACTGCTTAAAGTAGTCGCGTGTGGTCTCCGGGAAGGACGTGACGATGCGCTTGCCTGCGAGCAGCTCAGGCGACGTGATCGCGTCCTTGACAGGCGTCTGTACGCCCAGTGAGCACTGGCCGAAGCCCAGCGGCAGTAGCTCCTCCACCTTCGTGCAACTCTCAGCGATGATGTCCTGGCCTGTAATACCCAGATCCAGATTGCCCTCACCCACGTACGTGGCGATGTCTGAGGCGGGCAGGAACACGAGCGTCACCGGCAGACTCGAGCACAGCGCGATGTCCACGCGGTTGGGGCGGTGGTAGTCCAGACCCGCGCCCTTCAGCAACTTAAGGATCTTGTCGTGCAGACGACCCTTCTTGGGCACAGCGAAGAGCAGACGCTCGTCGGATTTCTTAGGCACGGGGGAAGGAGTCGAAGCAGACATGACGTTGATGTTGATGCACTGGTCCAAAGGCAAAGTGACGGTTGGCAGTTGACGTTGAAATGGCAAAACTTGTTATGATAAACATGTTCTTAACGGATTAGTGAAGCTGAGTGAAAACGCTTGACTCCGTTTGCGTTATCACGTTAAGAACCACGAGCTTTTTCTGACGAACCTAAGGCGAACTTAGTGTTTTGTGAGACGTGATAGATCAGCATGGACGAAGGCGAGTTCCTGCGTCTGTTGGAGCGCTACCCTGTGGTGCGCAAGAAGACGCACTGCCGCGTACAATGGAATGACATGGTGCGTCGCCATGTCAAGCACAGTCTGTGGCTTGCAGCCTCTTAATTCTGGCGCTCGAGTCGCCAGTATTGCCTTCCCAACAAGCGATTTACTTTTCTTGTGTTCGGTTACTGCAGTACGACGATGAGCCGGCAACGCACCCTACGAGCTCCGGTATCTTTACCCCCTCAGGCCAAGAGAGCGTCATCCAGCCTTCAGACTCCGTGGAAGACGCGCTGGAGAAGTTCCTGTCGCCGTATTTCTCGTCCAACGAGGCTGCCAAGATCCAACAACAGCTCGAGAAGGTGAGAAACATGCTGTTTACGATACTTCCAGACGCTGTTATCTGACATTAGCGGGTTAATACTGTTGCGGCAATTGTAGGCACAGCGAGATTTCCTGTCGAGTCTGTGTCTGGAGGACGTGAACGACCTCTGTGCACAATTTGTCACGACTAAATAGATGCGATACACAAAAATGTTGCAACTAAAAAAAAAGAGCAAGACTATATTATCGAGCCTCAATTTGCCGTGTGGGAAAGTTGATGTCTCTACGACCACAGGAAGACATGGAAGTGAGCATTACAGCTATGAAACTATCGAATAATAAGTGACTCTACATGTACCTGGAGGAAACTGCGAGTCTGTGCGGGATCGAGGAACGGCGACGTGCTCCAGGAGATAACAAGCGTACGCAACTCGTCCGTGGACGTCTCGAACGAAATGAGTTGCAACAGCGCTTCCTGCAATCCACATATTCACCCATACAACGTCGCTATGAGTAACGCATCAAACAGCTACAAACTGTGTGCAACGTACGATGTGTTGGTACTCGGCTTCGAACGTCGCCAGCTCCTGACTTATCATCTGGAAATAGTCTACTGGCCTCAGATCCGTCGCGGAGACTTGCTGCTCTCCTTCATCATCATCCCTCAGCACTATCAACGCAATGATTCATCAGAATTACCAGCCAGATATAGCGAAACTTATAGGAGCCACCCACCGATGTCTCTCGCTTCAGCTTGTAGTGTACACATTTCCTCTAGGAGCTTCTCGAACCCTCCAGACAGTTCCTGCACCTGTTGATACAGATCCTCTGCTAGCCATGGATCCATCTCCGCATTGCCAGCAAGTCCAGACAGCACCACACTCTCCTTCTTTCCTTTCTCCGGCGCTGTATCAATTGCCACCGCCGCTTGAGCCGCTCGAATCGCCAGTAGTGCCGACTGGAACCCTTCGATCAGAGCGATTCCCTCGCGTTCTCGACCATACCAGGCCGCACCTTTCTCCTGCATAGTAGTGAAGAGTCTTGCTATCCTCTTTAACCCATTATTGCCGCCATCCGACGACTGCGTGGTGTCTGCAGCGCGTCCGGCATTCGACGTCTTCTTGCCCTTCTTGGCCATCAAAGTTACAATTAGCGGTGCACACTCTTGCGTTAAGTACGTCTTAAGTACGCATACGTGGCAGAGCTCATCATCGAAGATGCGAGTACTGCGCGTGACGTTCCTATGGGCGCTGCTGCTCTTAGTCGCCTTTAGTGCCTCCGTCTACGCTGCTGAAGACGAACCTAAGACTCCGGAGTCCACATCTAGCGCGAACCCGCGTGACAATGACCCCGTTATCCAAGAGATCCGTGGATTACGGAACTCTGGCATGAAGCTGAACGACGCCAAGGACTTTAAAGGCGCCATCGCGAAGCTACGTGGGGCTATTACACTGCTACACGACCGAGTGTTTGGTGAAGGACGTGAGGCCATCACCGACCCCAGCGACATCTCGCAGGACGCGGCTCTCTACGCCCAGATCCTCAACGACTACGGCACGGTACTTATCCGTGCCAAGCAATACGACGAGGCCATCGAAGTGCTGGAGGACTCGGTAGCGATGGTAGAGAAGATCTACGGAGACAGCCACCCGTCGCTCGGTCTGTCGCTGCGTAGCTTGGCCGACGCATACATGGCCAAGGAGGAGTACAAGATGGCCATTAAAAAGTACAAAACCCTCCGCAAACATGTCAAAAAGGGCCTGGAAACGACCCACGAAGCGTACATTGAGGCGTCGTTGAGGATTGCCGAGGGGTACAAGAAACTGGGCAATACAAAGAAGAACTTAAAGGTGCTAAAGGACGCCGTGGAGGCTCAAAACGGAGAGATCAATGGCCTGACGACGGGCATCGCCGAGCTCTACATGGAGCTGTCGACGGCTCACGTGGCTGTGGGCGAGATCGATGACGCTCTGAGAGCCGCGGAGGTTGCAAGTGCGATCTTCCGGCAACGTGACGGCGAGGACACGCTGTCGTTTGCGTTCAGCTTGAATGCTCTGGCCGGCGTCAAGATGCGCCAGAAGAAGGTGGACGAGGCCATTAAGTTGCTGGAACAGGCCCACAGAATTGCTGTGCAGATCTACGGCGAGAAGGACCCAATCACTCAAGCTAGCGCAAAGACTCTACGAGAGGTGAAGGAGTACAAACTCGACTTGCAGGCGCAGAAGGACGAGCTGTAGCTTTAGAGGCAGAAGAGTTTAGTGGCTGTCGTTAAATACGAATCCCGGGTTTTTGCCAACATGGTACAAATCTTCACGAGTTGCTACGTGGTTTCGATGAATGTCTCGTGGGCAGAGCAGTTGTAGCTGCTCTTGGGTTGCAACGTAAAACGTTCTAGTTTGACTTGAGTTAAAAAGGGTCATAAAATGCATCAAAATATATACTAACGTGTTTTTCTGTAATGGAAACAACAACAAGTACAGATCTGGTACATATTTTAAATATCTGAGTATTATCGCCAGATACCGTAGCATTTGACTAAATTATACTTATAAAAAATCATTAGATCTATTTAAAAGTTAATCCATTTGAAGAAGTATTCGGTAGCTAAGGATAATACTAGCAGTAGCAATGTCAAACTGTACTGTAAGAACGCACTAGGTCGGGTACCGAGATCCTTAGCCGGAGGATAGGCATTTGAGAAAATTTGTAAATACATTTTCACCTTTTTATGATTTGCTCACATTAAACGTAGGTTTCATTCTTTTGTTGCTCGAAAGATAATGAAACCTACATGTAATTGCTGATTAGCCGATCGCTACTACATGTATTAATATGGTTTATTGCTTGATCATGGCTATCGGAGTCCGATAGCCCACCGATTCGGATAGGTATGGCTAGCCGGAAATTTGCGTGTATGACTCGTATAGAATAACTGGCTGTGTCGTGAGCATAACATCGAATACAGCGTAAACCTCAGCCTCAATGGCTTCGATTATTATACCAATACCTCATTTTCCACAATCCATCAAATTGTGGTTCGCACTTATCGTTCAAATAGCTCGACGATGCGTCCACTCCTGGCTGATGACGGTAGTCATCCTTCTTTTCCGAACTAGTGCATTTTTAACGACCGAGGCGACCGAGGTTTCACTATTGGACAATGCACGCGACAACATCAGTCACGAAAGAACCCTGCGGCTCGCTGAAACAGCTTTGGAGAACGGCAACATACCTGGTGAGAATGAAGCGGAAGAAAGGGCTAACGCAATATCGTCGGTTGTTTCTAAAATTTCAGACAAGGTCCCTCTCTCGGTGAAAAGTGCCTGGTGGCTTGAGCGAAGCAAACCTGTCGAATATGTCAAAGAAAAGATGGGCATGAAGGGTCTGGTGGGAGCTGAGCTAAAGGCCCACAGGAACTACCAACACTGGGTGAGCTACGCGGACAAACTGGAAGAAAACACGATTTGGAAGCTTGTTCGCCAAGGCTTCAGCACGTTCCAGTGGTGGAACAGAGTGGGGCTCGACAAGATGGTAACCGTGAAGGATGAAATGACAATCACAGAAATTCTTCAGCTCAAGAAAATTCAGAGCACGAATGAATTTCAGAGCTACAAGCGCTACGCAAATGACTTTGACGACCACATGATCAGCATGAATGGCTCTGGTTACTACCGACCCACCCAGTTTTTCGATAAGAGCGCTCCCCCGCTGGAAATAATGGCCAGAACGCAGATTTGGGCTGAAAATGGAAGGGCCGACCACCATGTGAGAGAATTTTTGGGGTTAGTGAGGCCGAAACAGGGTCGGCTCAGCAGGAACCCGTACTACCAATACTATTTGCATTTGAAGGGGAAGGTGTAGAAAGGAAGACGCTTGCGCGTATTTCTAACCTTGAGGCAGAATTGAACCCATCAATACAGCTCGCGCTGAGAGATATGTCTCAAACGGTTGCCTCATGATGTTGTAAACTTTGTTCTTAGTATTTGAATGGCTCACAGCTCTCCAGCTCTTTACGAAAAATTTTGCGGAGATCGTTTTTTTTTACGAGCGTCTTTTGTGGTGTCTGATTGGCTGCTATTTTTTTAAATGTAGGGTTGTAGGTTGGTAATTTAAAGTGGAAAAATATCAATATTGTGCTTTCAGACTTTAATGTAGAACCAGGATTGATCCTACTTGTCACAACTTCAAAGAAACTATTCTGACAAACTCCTGTACAGGAAGCTTAAAAATCTGGATGGCGGAATTGAGCGATCGGCACCCGTGACGGTCTCGCTAAAGCCCTACGGTACTTCTACAGCCAGCAAGATTGCTGGAATGCCTTATACATTTCTATCGGAAGACTTTCAGCTAGCTAAGTGGTTATTTGCATCTTGTAGTGAATCCTAGGTATTTCACCTTGGTTTCCCTCATAGTTCAACGGAGACGACCCAAGGGCGCCTGGCAGCTTTGCCATCTTCAGGCGATGGGTCTGCGTGTCTTCCCAGTCGGGCTAGTAAGGTCCGACCCGGGTTTTATATTAGGAACCAGGCCAACTATATATCATCTGTCTTATAACTTTCCCAGCGAGCTTTCTGAGGGACGCCTTAGAAAGGAGCTGATAATTGAGCTCGATCTGGTTACCATCAGACTCGAGACTCATTCTACGATTTACCCGATACAATACACTTGGCTATAAGTTCCAGCGGGGTGGCTCCCGCTTTGTCGAGTGTTGATTGGTTTTTCACCCGGGATTTACTACAAAGAATTCTTTAGTGGAAAAAGTGTTCTCTTTGGTACAAGTCCAGCTGCCTGTACCAAGAGACAAGAACAAGTACAAGAGCCTGTTTCTGCCGTCGTGACTGTGGTTTTCTTTTGGCGCGACCGAAGCAAGCCGCTAAGGGCCCAAGGGTTAATCGTGGTTATTTCGGCGTGAGTGGGACTGAACCTCAGCAAGTACCAGCCAGGATGCAAGGAGCTGGTACACCGGTATTTACACCGATCGTAGCACCGGAAATTACAAGTATCTCTCATGAAGCTTTGACGGATTGGACGAACAAGCGCCGTCACTACGAGAGCAAGTTGAGAGCTCGATGCCGCGCTACTGGAGAAAATTATGACAGCATAGTCCAGTCCGTTCGCGACTCAATGGATCCTGATTTACTGGATGTACTTTGCGAGCTGAGATTGAACGAGGACGTTGCTAACGTGAATGACGACATGCTGATTGCTGAGTTCGCCCTCATCCTTTCAAGCGTGAAGAATGACACGCTCCCTGACGTCAAGGCATTATTCAGATCCAAACTGAGGATGAACCCTGATGGAGAGTGATGTCGACGCCCGTGTGCTGGACTACTTTAACCAGTTCCGGAAGCTAGTGCGCGAGAATGGTCTGGGCGCCTGCTTTGAAGGTGACGGGGGTAACGAGGCAAAGTGCAAGCAACTCGTGGCCTCTCTTCACCCAGCGGCTCTCAAGGAAGAAGTGGAGCAGTGTTTGCAGTATACGCACAAGCAGGCCGCCTCGATTCCAAGACTGTTGTTTGACCTCGTCGTTGAGAAGGCGAAGGAACATGAGCGCCAGTTTCTAAGACAAAGGAATAAGAAACGAGATCGCGATGAAGATCTGCAGAAGAAGAAGAACCCCGAAGGAAAGAAGAAAATCAGGACCGGTGAGAATACGGAGGACTCTTCAAGGAAGGTGGCCAAGACCAATAGCATATCCAAGACCAAGACGAAATCGAAGTCGAAGAAGCTACCTCCAAGTCCGTGTCCAAAGTGCAATGAGATGCACTGGCTCAACGAGTGCCCCAATGCAACTGAAGATGAAAAGGTGGAGCTGAGGAAACGCTTGCGTGAGGCGAATGCAGCCAAGCGTACAAGGACCAAGCGCCTTGGTGAGTTTCTACCGACTCCATCTCGTGCTGTTATGGTGAATGGAGTACTGGAGATTCCGTACTGCGCTGACAGTGGCTCTGACCATACCGTGATGGGCCGCTCTCACTGGAATCAACTCCGGGCTCTGGACCCAAGTGTTCAAGCTGAAGAACTTACTGTCCCTGTTCAGAACCAGACGTTTGGGTCTATGTTGGTGACTGCCGATAAGAAGCCCAAACTCCATTTAATGATTCGCACCGCGGCTGGGCAGGTTAAACCGATGAAGGCTGTGGATGTGTTGATTGTCGATATGGATGACGACGAGTTCATACTTGGCAATGATGTACTAAGAATGCTTGGGATTGATGTGGAGCGTCAACTGGAGCAACTAGCTGACCTAAATGTGGATGAAACAAGTGGCGATCCTGTTGAACTGGAAGCCGACGAATCTCCGGTCCGAATTGGAGAACCTCAATCTGAGAATGAGGACGTATTTGCTGCAGTTGAACGGTTGGTTGAGCAAGCAGTCGAGAACGGATTCCCAGCAGACAAGCTCGATCGATTTCGTACTATCATCCATGCCTACGATGTATGGCGTTTGACTCTGCAGGATGACCCACCAGCACGTGTTCCACCTCTGGAGATACGACTACGGGAAGGGGCTCGTCCAACAAGGTGTAAGCCTCGACGGTATCCCCCTCACATTCGCAAATTTCTTCACGATTTCAACTCTCGTTTGGTAAAACTAGGACTCGTTTACGAGAATTCGGAAAGTCGATGGGCGAGTCCCGTTCTTCCTGTCAAGAAGTCAGCGGACCTTATGGATCTTCGGCAAACCACAGACTATCGTGAGTTGAACGCATTGACTGAAGTCATGGCAGCAGTTATGCCGATTTTATCCGTGGTGATGGAGAACGCGAAGGGAATGAAACATTTCGGACTCTTTGATTTTTTGAAGGGCTTTTGGCAGCTTCCGTTGGCTCTAATGTGTCAAGAATTGCTTTCATACATGACCGATGAGAAGGTTTTTACCCCTCGCAGAGTGCCTCAGGGTAGTAGTGATGCTGCGATATTCTTTTAGAAGACCATGGAGAATTGCTTTGCCAGTCTACTGTACGACCATTTACTGATTTGGATCGACGACTTACTCCTTTATGCCAAGGATATTGATGTATATTTGGACAAGTTGGAAGAAATGCTGTCACTAATGGACCACTTTGGCCTTAAAGCTGAGTGCAAAGAAAACGAGCTTGTACCAGACTGAGATCAAGTGGTGCGGCAGGATCATAAGTGGTGAAGGCATCAGACATGACCCAAACCGAATTGACTCGCTACGTGCTTTGCCATACCCACGTACTGCCGGAGAGCTTCAGCAATTTGTCTGTGCGGTCAATTGGATGCGTCAAAGCATTATTGATTTTGCAAGGCAGATTGCCCCTTTACAACAAAAACTTGACGCGGCTCTCACGAAAACCAAGAGGACCAAGAGGGCGGCTGCTGGCATTAACATTGAGCTGAGCAGTGATGAACGAGTGGCATTTGACCGGATTAAGGATTCGCTCGCCAAAGCTGCTACTCTCGATTTTCCTGATGACAACGCTACCACATGTCTCTTCACGGATGCCTCGAACGTTGGATACGCCGTTATTGTGACTCAAGTTGTGGACTTCGACCCTCAGAAGCCTGCTACAGAGCAACAACATCGGCTCATTCACTGCACAAGTGGAACGTTTGCCGGTAGCCAGCTAAACTGGACTGTCATCGAGAAAGAGGCATTCCCCATTATCGTTGCCTGTGATAAACTGGATTACTTGCTACTAAGGCCAAAACCCTTTCGGATGTATTGTGATCATCGTAACCTGATTCACATCTTCGCACCGGACGTTTCGATCAAGAAACATATTAAAGGGAAACTTTTAAGATGGTCCATGAAGCTAATGAACTACCAGTATGTAGTGGAGCATGTACCGGGATCTGATAATGTATGGGCCGATATGATTTCCCGCTGGGCTGGTAACCATTCGCCAACTGTGAAACGACTGAAGGTTGCTCGGGCTCGCCCAAGCCAAAGGACTGAGACTGTGTCTGCTTTGCGCCCTCTGGATGATGATCGTTTTGTGTGGCCCTACACTGGTGGAACTCAAGGAAATACAAGCCAAGAACTCGGCTCCTGTTCACGCTAATCGAAATGATGATGGTCTCGTGACCCTAGAGGACAAGCTGTGGATCCCATATGAAGAAAAAGAGTTACTTCAGCGGCTGTGCATCATTGCGCACTGTGGCGCTCAAGGGCACCGCGGCCAACAAGCCATGATTGCACACCTGGGACGGCTTTTCGCTATCGAGCACCTCTCAGATGTGGTCGCAAATTTCGTTAAGAAGTGTCTGCTTTGTCTGCATTCAAGAGGGGGAAAGATTATCCCACGTCCGTGGAGCGAGGTGATTGAGTGTCGTACACGTAATGGTGTTCTTCATTTTGACTTTCTTTACATGGGTGAAAGCTTTGGAGGCAGCAAATATCTTTTGGTTATGAAGGATCACGCCACACATTACTGCGAATTGGTTGTTGCAGACTCAGCCGAAAGTAGTGTTGTGGTTGAAGCTTTACTGGATTGGCACTCACGATTCGGTGTTCCTCCTGAGTGGGTGTCTGATTGTGGAACCCATTTCAAGAACGAGATTGTCGCCGAGCTGAGTCGCCGTCTCCGGTCGAAGCAGTCATTCACCT